AGAACAGTTCTAAAATAAAAAGAAGTTGGATCCTTAGTGGGCTAAAAAGTAAAATCCTCTTTTATTTTCATTATTTCAAAACAATTATACCACGAGCCCACAATTTAGATGGTTTTATTAATGAGAAAGGGTGAATGTTGAAGCTAGTTTGAACACCTTTTTGACTGTTGACTTTTCAAGACCAGCACCTATATAGCTCGTGGATAGTTCTGATATTATTTTTAGAGGACTTTCAGGTGCACTGACAATTAATGTTAAAAAATGAACAAATAATAAAGTAAACAACATACTTTTGAAGCATTATAGTTTGTGTACATGGCCTGTTTTTGGTGCGGAATAAAGGAAATATAAAAAGACCTCTTGCATTGGCAGTGCACTTTGTGTTCATTATGTATATGTATGATTATCTGTATTAAAGAAACAGCTGTCGCCACTTTTTCTGAAGGGCCACAAACAAGATGAAATCATAATATAGTAATTCTTAAGTAATAATGATCTGACAGACTTCCACATAGCACATTATCCAGGTGTCTTGTGTGTGCCAAAAAAATCTTACTGCTTTCTCACAAATGTGACACAGAATATTAAACTTTTAATTTGTTGACTTGGAATTGGACTGTAATTTTCATTTTCATTTTTTAAACATTATGAAAGATTTAAATAGATTAAGGTTATATACAAAATAAAACAGATTTTTACGTAGTTAAATGGTAATCGATATGAAATTGAATTTTATTATTATCCATCCATCTATTATCTATACTACTTATTCCTAAATAGAGTCGTGAGGGGGGCTTGAACCAACCCCAACTGACTTTGGGTGAGAGGCGGGGTCCGCCCTAGACAGGTAACACTGTCATTAGAGTGGATTTAAATCTATCACAGGGCTGATGCACAGACAAACAACCACACACACTCACACTCACTGCTACGGGCAATTTGGAGTCTCCAATCAACCTAAGCTGCAAGTTTTTGAACTGTGGGAGGAAGCCGGAGTACCTGGAGAGAACCCACGCAGGCATGTGGGGAAACATATAACCACCCAGACAGAAAGGCCCTGGGTCAGCTGTGGCTCAAACCTGGAACCTACTTGCTGTGAAGCCACAGCGCTAACCACTGCACCACTAAAATTATAATTATTATCATTAAATTACAATAATGTCACCACAAATCATGATATTTATCTGTGTAAAAGGACCAGGTCACCATTTTATTTGAAAGCACACAAACATGATGAAATCATGAAAAAACATGCTGAGTTAATTATGAATCCCACTCCTGGAATTCCACAGAATACATGTGTACTGCTGTGGCTGGTCAGGTTTGTTTGCCTGTCCCTGTAACAGCAGACTTTAACAACAAGGAAGAAATGAACATCAATAATAGCTCAGAACTCATGATGATTGAAATACCATGTTAACTGAAAATACGTTTAATACTTGTGAGGTACTCTATGCATGAATTCATGATAATTCATGTACCCTCACAGTAAAGTGTTACCAACATCCTCCAGTGTGATGCTGACCCCTGCCACGTGCTTCACCATTGACTTTTCAACAGTAGATGAATTTGGCAACTCCCTAAATCAATAACATGCCAGTGTGTTTGTTTGTTAGCGCTTCACACCATACACTATTAGGGATACTGATTTGTAAACACAGTTTGAATATTTTCTTTAGTGTTTGAACATATTTTCCTATGTATGACATTGCAGCTAAATACATGATTACCATAAGTACAAACACTAAATCACTACTACTTATGAGACAGTAAACACGAGTTAAAAAAAGGGCACTTATGATTAGTTTGAGCAACCTCTGTGTTTAAATGTTAACCCATTAAACCTGGATCATACATTGCATTACTACTAACCATTATACAAAGCAAATAGTGTTGTATGTTTTTTCCTACTTCCAGACTATTGGTTTTCATCCATTTCACTCTATAATGATGCATATTATAAATCAACCAAGAAGTAAAGCATCACCCAGTTTGACATCATATATGTATCATGTGACAACAACAATGAAAGCAAAAAGAAGCTCAAGCTGCTTTCAACTTTTCTGCATGTTGATTTTCATACCAACCCATAATGAATGAAATCAACACAATAGCATGCTTTGGAAAATGGTTAACAGAAATGTAATCTGACACCAGTATGGCCCTTAACTTTTTGTGAAATGATTTAAGTGAGAGTGTCACAATGTCTCTGCTCATATTTAGTGTCAGGTGTCACCTGTTGGAGGTGCTGGGCAGGACTTTGTAAAGCACAGAAAACCCACGCAGGCACAGGGAGAACACGCAAACTTCACACAGAAAGGCCCTGGATCGGCCCGGGCTTAAACCCAGAAGCAAGAACTTTCCTAACCACTGCTCCACCATGCTGCCTTAAACAGAACAGTTTTTTCCTCTTCTGTCGGTTCTGCTAACACTGACTGAATGCAACATTATCTTCACAGTGAGGTTGCCAGGACCAACAGAATCTGATAGCTCATACTACAGCATGAAGTGTTGCATGGAAGGAGAAACCTTTCTATGTCAAGACACAATGTACAGTGCTGCCATGTCAAAGTAAGCTGAGTTCCATTTGTCTGTGTTGGCACGCCGTCTGTTACGTAATGTAGTTAAAACGAACAGAGACCCTGCCTTTCAGGCACAAATGGCACCGTGCTGCTCGATTTTGGAGCACACCCATTCACCACAGCACCATGGCTGTAGTTAAAACCACTGAAGTAAAGAAAAACAGAAATATAAAATAAAGAAATGTATCTACTGCTTACAGTATACTACTACATTTCCTTTTTCAGTGTTAATTTTACTCTCTCACATTTCATCATGCTGGATAAATGTCACATTGGGCCTGCCTCTGTAGGCTGCGGCATTAGTGAGAACAAAGCAGTGAATCAGAGAAATATTATTTTTGGATCTTTTCACACATCAACACGGCCACCCCACCCTGCTGGAGGGACTTTGTGTGAGTGCATTTAAAGCACATGCTCCATCCTCCTGTCTGCGCTCTGACAGCAGACACTACTAGATGTTAGTGGTCTTGTTACTAGCACATGTTCCTAATAATATTACTGTGCTAATTTTAGGCACATTGCCTTTCTGTAATATTTCACAATTATTTCTAGAGCTTCTTATTCTGTTCAAGTTGAATGATTATTGAATGATTATAGCCTATTACAGTTCACCTGCCGTAATATCACATTATGCTCTGCCTTCCCCACAGGTATCACTGTTCCATCTCACCTTATCTTAGGTTTATGTGAAGTTGCTCATCATTTGAAACACATGCCTTTGGGTAGCTTGTAAATCTTCCACCAGGATCAATAAAATCTTACGAATGTATTGTTTTATTTCTCTGATGCTAAAGAGTAGCCTAACTAAATTGATCAGCTAGATGTAGTGCAGTGAAAAAGTACCGTCTCTGAAACGTAGCGAAGTTATGAAAGTAGGTTTTAAGCTTGCATTTAAAAACAACACCATGAATAACAAATCTTCGAGTAGCCTAAATACTGTACTGCATATAAAACTAACTATTTATCTGGTGCAGTATGGTGTGAAGTACAGTGAGACAATGCACAAGCTGCTGTTTCCTCTCTATATCCACATACTCTGGTGCTGTAATGAGGGAGCGACCTCACCTGGTGGCAGAAAAGAGACATGCATGTTGTATTTTCTGGGACTGTTGGAGAGTTAGGAAGGCTGCATTACCACCGCCAACCCTGTGAGGGCGCCACCTACACACCACAGTGAAAAACTATGACATTTTTAAGTTTCACCACTGTAGTTCTGGCACTATCACGCTACTCTAAAGTTACTGATGGACAGAAGCAGGCTAACTTCCATTCACTATACTAACACAGTAACTAACTAGTACTGTACTTAACACACAGACATGAGGGTGATATAAATCTTCTCATCTTGCTCTCAGAAAGAAGTTTAATTATTCCTTCAGTGAGCCAGAAATGACAGATGTTGAAAATAAAACCAGACATGGAGTTCAAATATGATTTATATACTGCAAAACAATTGTAAGAAAGTAACTGTGAAGAGTAGACAGGACTGTAAAGTAAACTGCATGTACATGTTAACAAGGTCATTACTAAACATGCTGTGGAATTCCTGAGTTTAACCTCCTATGATGCACGAGAGAGGCAGAGAAGCTGACAACAAGAAGAAAAAAGTCTGGATGAAAGGGAGAGGAGAGAGAAAGCTGCCAAGGCTTTTGTTTTATACCAGTCCAGAATATTTTTTGAACAGTACTGATGATAAGACGATGCTTATGTCATCCATTACAAAAACAAAATACTGGTGTCATAGAACAGACTGTTTGCCATTAGACACTAAGTACAGTCCTGTCTTTTCTGTTCCTCTGTTGTGCATTTCTCAGCCATTTCTTGACAGAATTCCACAGTTACAGTGGGGCTACATACTTCCTGAGGTAATCCAAGCACCTGTGGACACTCTGACACGTCCACCCCGCACTGCCTATCCTCCAGCCCCACCTGACTGAGATTCACATCAGACAGACACGCAGCCTCACTTTGTTGTGACAGATGTGACCTGGATTGGGATGAGCCCTTGTCTGAAGAAGGTGATGAAGGATTGGATGTGAGGTCGATGCTGGCAGAGACAGGAGGCAAGTGGCTGCCCTGCACCTCCCTGCACACTTGTTGTGAGAGGAAGGAGAGGTTCTGCCACAGCTCAGACATGCAAACCTTCAGCTGGTTGCGCTCACTCAGCAGCTTCTCTTTCTCGTGCACCTGAGTTCATAAGACAAAGTATCATCAGATCAGCATGGGGGCAACACTACAGTGAGCACTTTATCTTCACCATACCACACACATACAGTTTGTCATTTGCTCAAGGACCAAACACATACATAAACTGTTTGTTCTCAGAATGTTAGAAACCTCTGTGCAGTGATTGGACTAGACTTTCTGGATTAATTTCATGTCAACACACCACCTTCAACACAGCCTTTCCCTAACACAATGGTTCCTAAGCTTTTTCTGCGCCCCACCCCCACCCTCCATGTCAAAAATATTTTTGAGCACACCCCCCAACCCTAACCATATATGTCAGTTATATTTAGACTTTACTGCACCAGCACTTAACTCCAAGCCTCTAGCCCATTTTGGGAACTATTAACCACGTAGTGTTTTTGCTTTAAACTATCCAACTCTTCACTATATTAATGGCAGATGATGCTCATAGTCAGCAGTCTAACTGTTCTCTGGCTCTGATAAATGTTAATTTTTCTATCATCGTTCTCTACACCAAACTGCTTATATGGCCAACAGATTCAAAACCACTAATACAAATTGGTTTTACAGGGAGTGAGGAATTGCATTTTGTTGTAAAGTTTGGATACTTCCCATTTAAAGAATATTTTCAGTTTATAAAACGCTTATCAGATGTTTTAAACATACTCTGCACATTAATTGCTGTTACCTGGGAACTCAAGATGACACTGAAGATAAAACTGACCACACCTGAAATGATACTTAATCTTTTCACAGGAAAACCGCCCACAAGTACACTAAATACAGCAGGTCACACTTGAAGCAGGAAGTTGCTCTGTAAACTATGATGGATGATTACAGTAATCACCTTTATTTGACCAAGTATGTTACACACACAAGGAATTTGTTTCCAGTACAGAACCGAGGCAGCTATCTGTAGCGCCAACTCAACCGATGGCTCTAACCATTGGGGGAAACTTGGGGGTTCAGTGTCTTGCCCAAGGACACGTAGACTGCAGACACTGAGATTCGAACTTCCGACCCTCCAGTTGGGAGACGACTGTTCTACCCATTGAACCACAGTCGACCACAGTAGCATCATAAATTATACAACTGATAGTCAAAACAAAAATCCAATACAACCCAAGGTACGGTAAACTGGAATGACTACTAAACCTTCGAATCCCACCACAAGTTGCACTTGTGGTTGCCAGCAGCAGACAAAACCCACAATACCTGACCAAGTTGTTGCAGGAGCTGCAGTTTTTCAAGATAGCCACTGCTGCACCACCTACAAGGGCTATATCAACCACACAATGACCACAGTACTCTACAACACACACAATGAAGGTTTAAAAACTGTTACAATACTTTGGTATTGTATCTGTTTCAGTCATCTCCCAGGAGGTTGCTGTTGTGTTTGACTGGAATGACATGCATGTCTGATTCAGATGTACTGAAACAATTTGGAACACAACACTGCAGCACAGCCTCCTATTGAACTGAGGAGAATGAATGTTATGTCACTACTTAACAAGTGGATAATAACCGCTTCTAAAACAAAAACTTAATGACCACAAATGTTCGAGGGGGAGCCCGGTCTGAAATCAGGAAGAAATAACTAGCACTTCAGGAACACAGCTGTCAGGTAAATGCTGCTAGTTATATGTTGCTGTAACATTACATTGGGTTATTACTGACACATAAACTCTCCAAACCATAAACATACACTCTGTTTTATGTTTGTCTTTACAGGAACATCTGTGAGAAATGACCTGCAGAGTCCAGCGAAGCATTTGATGTAAGGAGATACACAAGTAACATGTTAGCAGGACATTCCCAGAAAACAGTAGGGCACAGTTAGCAGTCATCATTATGTGCAAATGTAAAGTAGGGTATGAAACAACAGAATATTTGGAACATTAGTAGTTAGCCCCCTCGTGACCCAGTTTGGGACTAAGCGATATGGAATATGAGATGAGTAGTTATCTGTGGTAAAAAAATACACTTGCTAAAATTGCAGAAGTAATCCAAGAGACAGTAGAGTGAGTGACGTAGCCACTGTTCTCACATATTATCCTGGCTTTATAGATAGAGCATAAATTTCTGGCACAACTTTACCCACTGTCAAGGTGCACAAACACAGGAAAAACACATTGGAAAACCAAAAGTCCAGCAGCACTTGCAGTGACCAGACATATAGTCTATCAAGCATGAGTCACTCTTGCTGAAGTGTCAAAAATGATGTCATCACGTCTCTTGATAATACACATAGCAACTGTCTACTTGCTTTTCCACCAGTAACATTTTAGACAAGTCACCCGTTGAAATGGACGGTTGTCATATTCACCAGAAATGAAATGTAGAGCAGAGAGGGAGAGAATGAAAAATAAAAGGGCCCTTGCCACAGACACAGCTAAATGCTGCAAAATACAGTAAGCCACATGTTTGCCACTACGGGACCAGGTATACCTTGCTACAGTAGCTGATATCAGTTTGACACAATGGTCATTGACCTACATGATTTGCACATCTTACATCTCTGTGGAAGAATTATACTTTAGCAATGAATGCGACACAGTGGTCAACTGACATTAGAGGAAATAATTTTCAGCTATTAAAAAATAGTACGCCTAGTTTATTTTTGTGCTGTTTTCTTTATGGACACCAGTGAGTGAGCGTTGTAATCTAAAACATTGCACTTATATAAGCTGCAGTTTATGTTCAATTTGTGTGAATGTGTGTGTGTGTGTGTGTGTGTGTGTGTGAGTGCATGTGCAGCGTTGCTGACTATTTTCAACGGAAAGCTGCTAAACCCTCCTGGAAAAGTCGCAAAATATCGCTAGATGACGTCACACTAATTTGCATTTGCATCAGTATGTGCATACTGTTTATATTACTGATCCTAATATTCTGACCCTCTCATGTACTGTATGTAGCTGGGGAGGACAATAATATAGAGACACCTCTGAATATAATGTAGTCCAGTATAGTACACCACCTTTAACTATGAGATCAATAATAAACATACAATTTATACATTTATGACAATTTCACCAAAAGCTGAAACATTCTGAGCTTCATAAATACAGATGTTAAGGTGGAAGTGTTGCACTGAATTGCATACAAGTATACAGGTGTACTTAATAAAGTGGCCAGTGAGTGTAAGTTCCCCTGAGGAATGAAAACAAGTGTGTGTGTGTGTGTGTGTGTGTGTGTATGTGTGTGTTAGTTATATGATCGCACCAGTTTGCAGATCTCGCTCTCCAGGTTCTGGATGCAGTCCAGCTTCCTCTTACGACAGCGCTGGGCAGCAATACGGTTTTTGCTGCGACGGCGAATATCATGAATGAATTCCAGCTGCTCTGAGGTTAATTTGTGCATCTTGATGAGGACCTGGAAGTCACTGCGTGGCAGGTTGGTGATCTGGTCCACGGGGAAGGGCAGCTTTACCTAAAAGGACCACAAGTTTATATTTTCATCGTTTCATTTTATAGAACTTTTCTACTATCTCTTTTATCATTTCACCAAAGTTGAAGATAGCTCACGTGAACCAACTGCATAACAATTATTTTGGCTGATAAAGACCAAGGGAATGGTCCTACAAAAAGCTAGAAAGTAGAATTAATTATTATTTATTACTTATTTTGCCTAACTACTACTTCTAAAAGGTAATGGTTGTGATTTTGTATTTTTTGTTGTTTTCCACAAATTCCATACAGAGACTAAAACCAACAATTTGGCATACTTACCATAATGTCTGTGAATAGAGGTTTGTTTATCTTATTCATCTGTGCATCAAAATTCATTGTTGTTTTAGCCTCTTAATCTGTATGGAATTTGTGGAAAATATCAAAAACATTACCTTATTATTAATAAACTTATTCTTTACAGGCAAAAGTTTTATTTCATGCTTAAAAACTATGTAAAATAATCCAGGATGTACTTTCACTGAGGACATTTTGTACTTTTTGCCCTGAAATTTGCCTCTCAGGCTAGATACAAGTTACACAAATAATATGAAAGGTGGAGACTGCGGAAACTATTTCATGCTGAGAGAAACATCTGCAGACACCACTCTGGGCTGAAAGAGTGCTGCCACCACTAAATACATACATAATAATGCTGGATTTAACCCTTTGATGCTTACAGTCACAAAAATATGATGATTCCAGTAGTCCTTGCAATTTATGTCTGCATTAAAACTTCATTAGTGGTTTCTAGTAGAACAATTTTAAAGCTGCTTGCAAAAAGGGGGACATCACAACCAAGCCGAACTGAACAATACAGTATTTATTCAAACCAGGTAATTGCACACACAGGCTTTTAACAACACTTAAATGAAAATACAATCCCAAAGCAGAAGTTGGGACAGTATGTAAAATGAAATTTAAAACTGGAAGTAGTGATGTGTAAATTATCTGTCTCCTGTATCACATTGAAAACAATACAGCAGCACATTATTGGATGTGGATCATCAGTTTTATTCTTTGTACAAAATAAACACACTTCAATTCTGATGCTGCAACACATTCCAAATGAAGCTGGGACGGTTGCATTTCAGGGCCAGTAATGAGGTAAAACAATGAAGATAATGATGATTCCATTTGAACCAGGTGATGTCAACAGGTGACTGCATCATGATTTGGTACAAAAGTGGCATCCAGGAAAGGCCAAGCCCTTTACGAGCAAAGATGGGCTGAGGACCGCCAGTTTGACAACATAGAGGCAGTACAGAGAGAAGCTGAATGGCTTCTATTCTACTGCTGACTCCAGACGGATGTGGCAAGGCCTGCAGCCCATCACAGACTACAGGACCACCACCAGCATCATCAGCTCCACAGACAGCCTGCCGGATGACCTCAACACCTTCTATACCCGCTTTGAGACCTCCAACCACAGCACAGTGAGGAGGCACACACACACTAAGGTGGCTGATGTTCTCACCCCCATCTTCAACCTCTCCCTCAGCCAGAGCATCGTTCCCACCTGCTTTAAGACCACAACCATCGTCCCACTTCCCAAGAAGAGCCCGGTCACCTGCCTGAACGACTACAGGCCAGTGGCACTCACCCCAATCATTATGAAGTGCTTTGAGAGAGTGGTGCTGGCCCGCATTCAGAGCAGTATATACTGAAGTAACCCAGATATCTGCAACCCATCCCAGTAATCTGTGACAGGTTGCAAAAGACAGAGAAAACAAAGAAAACCAACACAAGAGAGGATGAGTAACCAAGGCTGCCATCGCTGTCAGCATCATCTTCCGAAGGAAAATAAATAAATAAATAAAAGTGAAGTGCAAAGGGTAGGCAGGACTTAGAGTCATAAATCATGTCCTAAATCTTGACTTCACACCTCAGTTTGACAGTAGCAGGAGTCTTAACTTTCTAACTGTATTAAAATAATACATGTTGTATTAACACATCTGTAATTGTTATCTAATTATATAATATATAGTAACTACAACAAATGCACATCATTCTGTTGCAAATGATACTTTTATACATTTTGCTGATAATACTATACTTTTACTTCTTAATACAGCTTTCTCTTATAATAGAATTGCTTTTAACTCCACTTTTTTTTCTTAAGCGAGGAATCCTAAATAACTAACTCAACTGGCATTGTTAAGATTATTCCAAGTTGCCAGATGGAGGGCAATGTGGTGTAAAATCCACTAGGTATCAGTATAAAGCTACTTATTGACCCAAACAGCTCTAACACAGATGAATATAGGATGAGCTCTTTGTTTCAGTCAGTGGCTAATTTTGGTCTCAGTTGTACAAAATATTAACCACCATTTCTTTCTTACTTAATATGCAACTTTGCTGGTGTGTACCCCCTGACCCAATTTGTGTTTCTTTAAAAGGATTGTCTCTTATTTGCATACCTATTTTTCTGCTTTTTGCATTTATTTAAACATTTATTGAGGTTTTTAAAAGCAATTTTTATTATCACACTTTATTCGCAGTTCTGCCTTATCAATGTATGTTTGAATCCTGAGCTGTAGTTGTAGCAAACTGACAAATGAATTCTTACTTATTAAATAATGCTCATCTAATCCATTAAACTTTTCAAGTGTGTGTTGACCATGTTCACTCGTGTGCACTCCATCTTTCACTGCATCAGAACAGTGTTCATACTGTTCTCTTTATGCCAGCAGTGTTCAGCACAGAGCTGCTAGGATACAATGATGACATCATTCACTGCTCTAACAACAGAGGGAAGGGATAAGAGAGGCACGTATGTGTGTGTGTGTTTTAGGTGCTGTCTGTCCTTTACTCCATAGACATCTATATATAGCTCCATTGCTCTCAGTATTCACATAATAAGGCTGGAATCACAAAGTGAGCCTTGGATAATCATAAATAAACAATAATCTCTCACTTTCTCTGTTTCTGTCCCTCTCTGGTCTGATTTTCATTTTTATTGATGTGCATCCCTTCAGATGTTCATTCCATCACTAGCTGTTTAATAGTTTAAGGTGCTTATATCAACATTTGCAATACCAAAACATTTCTAATGTATTAAATGTAAGATGAAGAGTAGGGTGTACTGACTGATGTTAAATGATACCCCCAGTATCAGCCTGAACCCACAGCACACCCAGACCTATGGAGGAGGGTTCAGTTCACTAAAATATAACTGTTCTGAGTATAAAGACAACAATCTGACACTGGTTTAATCACATGATTTAAAATAAGAGAAAAAAAGAAAAGAAAAGAGTGAAAATCAGATTTGAGAGCCCCAGGAAGAGTTAAGCATCTTGTGAATATGGCTTTCTTTATGAGAGTGAGATAAAGACCATTATCAATCTTATGTCTGTGTGTTAGAGCATGTAGTCAGGACATAGTTAGCTCAGAATAAAGACCTGAAGCAGGGGCAAACAGCTACCCTGGCCCTGTCCTAAGCTCAAATATACACCTATTCACACAAATTATCATGTCGTTTTTCACAAACTGATTCCAGACTTTATGCTAATCACACCTGGACTCCAGCTTTCTACATAATACCAGTGTTTAAATTCCACTCTGTTTTTTTAGGGGGGTCTCATCCAGTGTTTGGGGGTGGTGGGGTTGATTATTGTGCCTAACAGACTTTAAAGTGCCCATGGCATGCTCATTTCCAGCCATTTAAAGAACCCATGGTGCTTTTCCTTGTTTTCTGACTTATCTACAATGTTACAACGGTGAATTATCATCTTAGACGTGACCTAAAGATCAAAAAATGAGGTGAATGTATGTTCTAGTATTTCTATGCAGAAGTAACTGGGCTTATACACATCTTGCAAACTATAGTTTATTTTTATATGCCACCACTACCCATCACTAACTGTGTGTCTCCTCTCTCCCGTAGTGTGTCCTCTCTCTCTCTCCCTGTACCTTTCTGAAGGTTACCCAGGCTCTGGAGCTCTATGTTTCTGATGAGCTGTCACCGGCCACATCAACCTGCCCAGTGTTCAATTGTTTGTTGTGTCTTGTTGCTTTTCTTTTCTTTCTGCTCTCCTCTATCCACTCACCCCAACAGGTTGAGGCAAAAGGCCACCCACCAAGAGCCAGGGGGTGTCGGAGGTTTCTTCTGTTAAAGGGAGTTTTTTGCCAAGTGCTTGCTCAAGGGGGATTTATTGGGTTGTCCATGAGGCTTGATTTGTCATCAATCAATTTTCCGAAAAACGATACAAATCTCAATACCCAATAGTTTCAACAGAAACTGTTGTAATAATAATAATAATAATAACAGTAAGGTCTAGACCTGCCTTTGTAAAGTGCCCTGAGATGACTTTTGTTGTGATTTGGTGCTATACAAATAATTTTGAATTTGCAGGCAGCAGGAGGTAAAATATATCCACAAAACCGCGTGCAGTCAAAAAATTAATGCTTTTGCAAAGGCACTGATTCATGTCAGGCAAGCTCGCATGAATGCACAACTGCCTGGAGATTATGACCATTTTGTGAGAGAAAAAGTCCCGTGAGCAAGAGTTTGCGAGACTTATATAAACCGAGTTGCTTCGGCACAGAAGTAGTAGAACATACGTACACCTCATTTTTTGAGCTTTAGCTCACGTCTAAGATGATAATTAACCGTTGTAACATTGTAGTCAGGAGTGTAGTCAAGGCTGTAACACGTGAGTCAGAAAGAAAGGAAAAGCACCATGGGCTCTTAATAAATAAATTCCCACATTTCTAATACTAACAAACTTAGGAATAAAGGCCTGTTTGTTATATAATTCATTCGTTGTTACATGGAAAATGTTTGTTGATGAGTGAGAAGCTGCTGAGCCGAGGAGGTGCGCTTAATTTACCAAATCCACACACAATAGCTAATTAACACATAGGTGGACAAAATAACAAATGAAAGCAGCTTATTTGCCATGAAAAAAAAACTGCATATGCCCCATTCGATCATGTTACAGGTGTTACTGACAACAGGTAAAGTTAGAGCACAAACTGCTC